CCCCCCCCCCCCCCCCCCCAGCCATCACATCCAGGGCAGAAGGCTTGTGTTGACCTTCACATGTTTGTGTTGGTCTCATTTCACCCTCCTCGATTCAGACAGGATGTGAACCCAGTAATACAACTAAACCTGCAACTATCTGTAGCATGTTCAAGGTTAGGTTCTAGATCACTTCTGTCCATGGAAATGCAATGTGAGCCACAAAGGCGAGCCACATATATCACTTTAAACATCCTAGTAAAAGGAAAAGAAACAGATGGAACTAATTTTGATGATCTATTTTATTTAACCCAATACGTCAAAATATTATCCTTTCAACATGTGGTCAGTGTAAAATTATTCCTGAGATACTTCCGATTTTTTTCGTTTGACGTCTTTGAAATCCAATATATATTTTGCACTTACGGTCTTTCTTAATTAGAACGCTAAATTTTCATTGGGCATACTTACCTGTATTTAGACTTCATAAAATTGACAGCTGAAAAAGCCGATTCACATACTTGCATTTTTCTAACCACACTTAAAATTTTTTAAATAACGGAATCAAGTAACGTAAGAAGTCAAGACATTTAAATGTAAATCAATTAAAATTTTTAAAAATGAAAAATTCAGTGTGTTAGCCATACTAGTCACATTTCAAGTGCTCAGAGACCATATGGCTGGTGGCTACTGAGTCCGACAGGGCAGGGCTAGATCGTGAAAATAGTAGAAGCAATAAAGCATGCCCTCGTGAAAAGAAAGTACACCTCAAAATGGATAAATAAGAAATTACGTATCAACCTAAACTCCCCAGCTCAGGCTTCCCAAATTGGAGTGCACAGAGGACTTACTCAGGGAATTCGTAAGAACTGCAGACGTCCACCCCCCACCCAGAGATCTGCCTGAGAAGGTAGAGGGTAGGGGCCGGAAGTGTGCATTTTGAGGAGACCCAAGGGCCACACTTTGAGAACCATGGCACGGTTAGCGGGCATGCCGCAGCAGTGACGCTCCTGCACCATCCGGAACACCCCATCACACACACACATCCCCAGCCAGCATCTCCGGTAAGCAGGCACACCACCACCATGGTGAGGACACAGAGCGGCTCCAGAACACAGCAAAGCCAGCTGGTCCCCAGACCATGCTGAGCAACTTCCTGAGAACCAACTACACCACCTCTTAACGAGAAGGTGTGCAAAGCAGTTTAGAGGGCATGCCTCCCTGCGGTCTGGAGCCTGAAGGAAGTCAAATCCAGCCTGGCTACTCCAGAGCATTCAGGAAGTGACCCCTCTGCTGGCAGCTTATGTCCTCAATGGTGTTCCGAAGCATCAGCGTCCAGTCGTCACCCTTCCGCATCGGGGTGCAGCGTGTCCCCTTGCTCTCCAGGGCTAGGATCTCCGCAGGGGTCTCTGGGGTCAGCCCGGCAGCCAGGACAGCTTCTGGGAACTTGGCTGCAGAGGCGGGGGCCAGACAACACCGGGGAAGGCTATGGCATGGAGCAGGTGGGAACAGGAGGGCGGGTGGGAGAAGAGAGGGACAGATAAGGGAAGGAGAAGGCGAGGAGGGAGGAGAAGGAGGAACAGGAGAGAAAGAAAGAAAAGAGACAGGCGCTTGGTACCTTGAACTTATCTCTGCAATGACACTGCTAGGGAAACTGCTCTTCTTTGTTGGAGGCCCAGCTCAACCACCACCTGTCACAGTGGCTGTCCCCAGAATATATCACACACCCTCCTCTGGGATCCCTGTTCCTGGGGCACTGTTCCACACAGCACCGGTCATGCTCAGCACAGCCATTTGTTCGGACTCCCATCTCCTCTGCTTGGGGGAAAGAAGGGCCCCTGAAAACCAGAGTACCCCAGTGACCCAGGAGCCCATGGCCTATACCTGGGCGGCTGCTGCTCCATCTGTTGGTAATGGTAACTCACGGCCACGGCCGAGTGAGGGCACAGCAAGTACTTGTTCTCTTCCCAACAGCGAGCCATGGTCTGGGTGATGGCCTCATCCGACACTGACTCAGACGTCACTGCCCCTGAAAGCTGATGGGGCCCAGGGTCAGAGGAGGGGGGGGTGGGAATCAGGTTGGGGGTAACCCAGGGAAAGCGACCAAAAACTCACTACAAAACATAGCCAGGCAAGGGGAGGGTGGGTGATGGGTATTGAGGAGGGCACCTTTTGGGATGAGCACTGGGTGTTGTATGGAAACCAACTTGACAATAAATTTCATATATTGAAAAACAACAACAACAACAACAAAAAACATAGCCAGGCAACACGAGAGATTCAGATGAAGTCTTCAGACTAAGTAGCTCAGCTTCAGCTCAGAGAAAAAGCTGGTTCCCCAGGCTTCCCAGTTTTAAGTTGATTCACTCAGCTTGGGGGAAGGACCGTTTGAGTTTCAAGTCAGTAAATTTAGTAAGGATTAGCTCATGAATCAGCAAATTAGTATATACTCTTGTTCAACAAACCGACAAAACGCAGAAGGTTAAGGGTAATCAAGCATTCCTGGTGCCCTGTCTTTGGTGCATCCCTTTCCTGTGGGTGTAAGAAACATCTTCCAGTCAGTTCCCACCCAGTTCAGGTAGCACCTCCTCCAGGAAGCCTTCCCCTTCCACCCACAGACAGCAGAAGACTCCCTTCTCACTGTCCCCTCAGTGTGGACGGTTGATCTGATCATTCTCTGAAAATTTACTGCATGCTGTTGAGGTGCCAAACACCTTGCATATACTTGACTGCCGCCATAGGGTGTTATAAATCATTTGTACAGCTACCTGTCCCATTAGGGTTCACAGAAGACAGAGAAAGTATTTTCTTTATCTTTGTATTTCCAGTACCTGCACAGTTCCTGGATTACCGTAGATATTTTGAATGAATGAATGAATGAATGCTGTTCCAGCAGATGCGATGTTTTGTACGTGTACAGCCAGGGAGAGAATGAAGAAGTGTGGGATCTGGTGTCTGTTTCCATGGAGCACCTCATTTACATGAGGAGAAGGACTGGGAATATCAACACGAACCGTTAACCAAGTAAGTTGACCTTTGGTTGTATTATGGTCAGAATGTTTACGTCCTCCCTCTCCCAAATTCGTATGTTAAAAACTTAATCCCAACATTATGGTGTTTGAAGGTGGGACTTTGGGAGGTGACGAGGTCATGAGGGTGAAGCCTTCATGAGTGAATGAGTGCCTTTATAAGAAGAGGCCGGAGAGCTAGCTAAATGTCTTGCCATCATGTGAGGATACAAGACCCTGGCGGTCCGCCACTTCTATGAAAGTTGCTCTCGTCAGAACCCAACCGTGCTGGCACCGTGGTCTCAGACTTCTGGCATCCGGAACCGTGAGAGATAAATGTCTGTTGTTTATAAGCCACCCGGTCTCTGGTACTTTGCTATGGCAGTGCAAACGACGACAAGTTGCAGCACAAGAAAGATTGAAATTCCACTATGGTCTGCGTGGGTGCCTAAACCCAGAAAACTGTATCCAGTTCTGGGAACAACCCTTTAAGACTGACTTTGACTATGCAAAATTAGGTCACGGAAGGGACAGCTAGAGGGACCGGGAAGACTCAGCAGAGAAACAAAGATTCTCTTCAAGTATGGGAATCGGACTGCTCCCCAGTGCACAAGTCAGAAGGAGACTCCGGCTCAACATAAAGAACTTTGTAATGATTAGAGCTGATGTGAGCCAGTGAGGACCTGGTCACTGGATATACACACGGTCTGGATGACTTGGTGGGATGTGATAGAGAAAATTAAAGGCAATGTCAACATATGAAATCCTTTCTCTTACGTAAAATAAGTGGACCATCACTAGGCTACATTAAAATAAAAGCAATCCTTCCCAACCAGATTCCTACCACTCTGAAGAAATAAAATTTCTCCTTTTCCTTAAAAAAAAAAAAAAAGCTCAACAGGCCTCTGTTCATACTGGATGGGCAAAGTGGCTTCCAATTGTTGCTACTACTGAAAATCGACAATAATGAATTAAAACAATTAACAGTGAATGTGTTAAGCCCTATATTTCCAGGCAGTATCCAACGTGTCTCATGGGCATTGATTGACGTAAATCTTCAACAATGCTGTGACAGGCATTCTCATTAGCCCTACTTTATAGACGAGTTTAAGAAACTGGCCCAAGGTTTCACAGCTGGCTTAGAGCCAACCCCTGTCTGATTTGAACCAATGCTCTCTACTGCCTCTCTTCATTCAACAAATCAGTCCCTGTAAAGAGACTGCAAAAGGGCCAGGCTCATAGCAGGTGCTCAAGAAACAGGTGTCCTCTTGCCTTAGACAGATTTTCAAGCCTACAACTGGGTTTCGTGGTTACACCCTTTGCTTTCCCCGTGGGGTGCAACCGGGGACTGACCTTGCTATGCAGTTCCTTGGGTAGGCTCACGCTTTGGGTCCTTTCAAACTGCTCCATGAGGGCTCTTGTCACCTGACTGTTGGAGCCAGAGAGCAGCCAGAAGATTCTCTCCATGTTGTAGGGCACCTGGAAACGCAGGGTGCCAGGGGCCACATTGATCTCAGTCCTTGTCCATTCCCAACCAATCAATAGCTGGGCCAGACCCGCACACTTTCCCACAGGTCCTACCTGAATGTCCATTGCTGATGCCAAGGTCTGTTCAACGGCCTCAGAAAGAGAGAAGTCGCCCTGCTGGACAGTCCTGTGGATGATGTCATTGCGGTTCACTGCCACGACAAGGCGGATAGGCAGGCCCATCTTCTGAGCAATGCACCCCGCTTAAGACAAGTGAAGAGAAGAACAAAAGTTTTCTCAGAGATGGCGCCCAAAGTACAAGAAATAAAATGAAATTCGGATAAACCGGACTCCACCAAAATTGAGAAACTTTTATGCTTTGGAAGATTTGTGTTTCAAAGGACACTATCAAGAAAACAAAAAGGCAGCCCACAGAATGAGAAAAAAAATATTTGCAAATCATATATCTAATAAAGGACTTGCATACAGAATATGTAAATAAATCTTCTGACTCAACGATAAAAAGACAAATAGCCCAATTTAAAAATAGGCAAATGTCAGGGCGTTTGCATCGGTTAAGCGTCCAACTTCGGCTCAGGTCATGATCTCACAGTTTGTGGGTTTGAGCCCTGCATCGGGCTCTGTGCTGACAGCTCAGAGCCTGGAGCCTGCTTCGGATTCTGTGTCTCCCTCTCTCTCTGCCCCCTCCCCCAATTCGCACTCTGTCTCTCTCTCAAAAATAAATAAACCTTAAATTTTTTTTTTAATTAAAAAAATAAAAATGGGCAAAGGACTTAGACAAACATTTCCCAGAAGCTATACAAATGGCCAATGAGAACATAAAAGAAATTCAGTATCATCAGTCATCAGGAAAACACAACCCCAAATCATAATGACATACTGTTTCACACCCATTAGGATGGCTAGAATCAAAGTATTGGTGGAGAAATGAAACCCTCATACATTGCTGGTGGGGATATAAAACGGTGCAGCTGCTTTGGAAAAGTCTGACAGTTCCTCAAAAAAGTTAAGCATAGAGTTACCATATGACCCAGCAATTCCACTCCTAGGTGTATATACTCGAGAGAAATAAATATAGGTCCACACAAAAACTTACACACCGATGTTTATAGCAGCATCATTCATACCAGTTTCAAAATGGAAACATTCCAGATATCAACATTAACTGATAAACGGACAAACAAAATGTGGTACATGCACACAATGGAATGTTATTCAGTCAGAAAAAGGAATGGAGCACTGATATGTGCTATACTATCGATGAAACTTGAAAACATACTAAGTGAAAGAAGCTGGACACAAAAGGTCACATATTGTATGATTCTATTATATGTAAAATGCTCACAATAGGCAAATTGATAGAGACAAAAGAGATCAGTGGTTGAGTTGGGGAAATGAGGGGAAATGCAGAGTAGCTGCTAATGGGAATAGGGTTTCTTTCCAAGGCGATGAAAATGTTCTGAAGTTGACTGGGGGTGGTTGCACAAATCTGCACATATACTAAAAACTATTGATCTGTATACTCTAAATGGATGAATTGGGTTTTTTTTTTTCCATTTTTTAAATGTTTCTTTATTTTTGAGAGACAGAGAGGCAGAGAGGGAGAAACAGAATCCAAAGTAGGCTCCAGGTTCTGAGCTGTCAGCACAGAGCGCAACTGGGGACTCGAACTCATGAACTGTGAGATCATGACCTGAGCCGAAGTCAGGTGCTTAACTGACTGAGCCACCCAGGTGCCCCTAAATGCTCACTACTATTTGCAGAAGAGAAAATGGAGGTTCTGGGAAGTAGAAATGACCCACCCCAAGCCTGCCGAGTGGCACAGCAAGGATTGGAAGGAGGTCTATGTCCAGAGCACATGGTCTTGCACCCCGAAATCAGCCTCCTGGAAGCAGCGCCTCCAGATGGCACCTCCTGGAGAGGCCCCTTGGGAGGACGGAGCGGCACCTTATTTGCACGGAACAAATAAGGAATCCCTCACCCTGAGAGAGGGAGAGCCCAAAAAGGTAATGACATACTTCCAGGGGTGGCCTATCTCTGGCAGGTCGTCAAGAGGAGTTAGGGATCACCACCCCACCCCAACGTCACCCTGAACTTTGCGAAAGCATGTTCACATTCTGTTTCACTGCATCTGCACGTAAACGTCATGATATCCGTGTACGGCAGAGGAGACGTGGACCCTCAGTAGGACCCAGGGGCTTAAGCTGAAACAGCTGGTTCCCGATGAAGCAGAGGTAGGTAGGAGCTACTGTGGTAGGCACTGGGGCACGTGCAGGTGGCATCATTCACCGGAGGGGGATGCACATGGGGAGCATGGTGGGCTTCACCCCGTGGGTGGTCACGGTGGCTGACCGATCCTTGCCTGACTGCCAGCTCCCCGTTCTCCCCATCCCCGTGTGAGTGGAAGAAGTCAGGAAGACTCCCGACCACTAAGACGCTTTCATGGTGTCATGCTTGGCGCCCATCAGAAGCGATGCCACCGACCGAACCATCAGAGACTGTAGTGCCCGTTACGAGGCAGCCTGGCAAGCTCATGAGGACGCAGGCTCTGGAGCCAGCCTGCCTGGACGGTACTTCTGGCTCTGCCACTGATCAGCGTGTAAGCAGGGGCAAGCTGGCCGAGCCCTCCGTGCCTCCACTGCCTCATTATACAGTGGAGATAACAGGACTGTCCTCCTCAGAGGCGCACGTGAGGATTAAATGAGTTGCTACATGAGAAGCACTGAGAGCAGAGCCTGCTAGGTAGTAAGTGCTGGATAAATGTTTATCAGTATTCCGGAAGACGATTTTAATGCCACGCAGCGGTACAGCCCTTCACCCTTACAAAGTTCACCTACACACGTGAAGACTCATGTGCACTTTGCAGTAGTCCTGAGAGATATGATAAGCTATCCGATGTTGCTTTTACAGCGGAGCGGCTGAGTCTAAGGGACGGCCCCGTGGCCATGCAGCTGGGGCCAGAACCCCGAGTCCAGCCTTCTTTCCATCTCACACGGTCTCTGGGGAGTGATTCTAGGAGTGGGAACACGGTGTGCCAGGTGCCCTCACTGTAGGCAGCTGGCCGAGGCTGGGAGCAAAGTCCGTATCTCTGGAAGAGGGAGCTGCCAGGCCAGCACAGAGGTGAACTTTGATCTCATCTTCCCACATTCTCCTGAGCGGGGTGAGCCCATCTTTCCCTCCTGCAGCAAGAGGCCGGGATGTCCTCTCGGGGAGTTAGGGGGAAGTTTGCTGAGGGCTTGCCTGTCACCTTCAGAGCCAGAGCGAGGACTCAATCTTCCTCCTCATAGTTGCAGCCGAGGGGGTGGCGGGAAGGACTAGGGCTACAGGCATTTTTCTGGAAAGCCCATTTCTGCCCAGGGGTCTCCTTACCTGCAAGGTTACCTGCAGCCCCTGTCGGTACAACCACCTCCACGCGGGGCAGGGGGTCCGTGTCTAAGGATGACGCGCACTGGAAATAAGCGAAGAAGTGGTGGGCCATTTGCACGAGGACCCGGGACCAGTTCATTGAATTCAGGCTCATCAGGTTGTGCTTCTTGACAAAAGCCACGTCAGCAAACACAGCTTTGATCGGCTCATCGAGCTCATCGCTGTTGCCCTCCACTGTCAGGGAGAGAGTGGAGGGTGGCTCTCAGGAGCATGAAGAACCCCCAGGTGGTCAGCACTTGCCTGCAACAAGGCCCTCCCACACTGGGCCCATCCTGCCGGGACCTTCACTCGACCTTCGGTTTCTGCTCTCCCATGTCTTGGCCTGGCTTCTTAGACGCAAAATTAAGCAACTCAAGGAAAGAAACCATGTCTCGTGTTCTTGTGGTCAGATTTCCAACATTTCTACCACTATATAAGTTAGGCATATAATGTCAGCCTTCTGGGATATTGGGAAAATGACTCCTCTTTGTAATCCGTGCCCACCTTCCCTGCTCTTTAGGAACAAGGAGAGATGGTTTATGAGGTCGTGAGGTGGCAAGAGGCTGATCTTTTCTTCACTCCACGGTCCTCTACCAGCGGGTGGGGGTAAAGAGTCACTGTTGCCATACGGTCTGCCCTTCTTCTCTCAGATCACAGAGAGGCATTCTGTTCCCTGCTCCTACGTGGTAGGGAAGCTGGCTGGCATGGACCTTTCCTCCATGAGCTGGGTGTGTACCCCATTTAATTTATGGATGAATTGCTCATTAAATTTATGGGTGAGTTGGCTACTAGTCCAAGTTGCATTCCTCAATCCAGCCCAACTAGCAATTAAGCCAATATGGATCTCTTATCTGAAACCTGGGTCTACTTCTCCTCTGGATCCAAACTTGGGATTTACCATGGGAAGTGCCAGAGTAGGCACTGAGGTTGTTATTCATCCCACCCTTCGCACTGAGTAGCAGCAATGAGGCTAGGGGGCTGACTCTAGATCCATGCACCAGGGGATGTGTGCTGGAGTTCCAGAAAAAATTCACTGCTCTCAAGACAGAGCCACAGGAAGAGAGACTTGGCTACATTAAGTAAGCACTACATACACAAGGGGGAAGGAGCCCTAGGACTGGGGAAGGCAGAGCAGAAAATACAGAGAATCTGGGTCCCTGTTGAGGGACTGCTGAGTCACTGAATCAACTATTCAGGAGCCCAGCCCACCTCTAGACTTCCAGTTACGTAAGCTGGAAAATATTCTTGTTCAAGCTGGTCTGAGTTAGATTTTCTGTTACATCTGGCCCCAAACATCCCAAATAATGTGTAGCTAGCACTTGCTGATTACTCTCTGCTTAAGAGGAACCAAGTATAGGGGCACCTGGGTGGCTCAGCTGGTTAAGCATCCAAATCTTGCTTTTGCCTCAGGTCATGATTCCAGGATGCTGGGATCGAGCCCCACGCTGGGCTCTGCTCTGACAGCAAGGAGATTTCTTGGGATTCTCTCTCTCTCTCCCTCTCCCTCAGCCCCTCCCCACCCCCATTCATGCTCTCTCTCTCTTTCAAATAAATAAACTTAAAAAAAGAGATTCTCTTTAAAAAAAAAAGAACCGGGGCGCCTGGGTGGCGCAGTCGGTTAAGCGTCCGACTTCAGCCAGGTCACGATCTCGCGGTCCGTGAGTTCGAGCCCCGCATCGGGCTCTGGGCTGATGGCTCAGAGCCTGGAGCCTGTTTACGATTCTGTGTCTCCCTCTCTCTCTGCCCCTCCCCCGTTCATGCTCTGTCTCTCTCTGTCCCAAAGATAAATAAATGTTGAAAAAAAAAATTAAAAAAAAAAAAAAAGAACCAAGTATGAAATATATATGGAAATTAATGACTTTATTTTCTTTAATGTTTTATTTATTTTTGATAGAGAGAAACAGAGCACAAGCCAGGGAGAGGCAGAGAGGGAAAGAGGATCTGTGCTGACAGAGGAGAGCCCTATGAGGGGCTCAAACTCATGTACCTCGAGATCATGACCTGAGCTGAAGTTGGAAGCTTAACCGACTGAACCATCCAGGTGCCCTGGAAATTAATGACTTTATAAAACATCAGTGTCCAACTCACAACAATCCAGGTGGTCCATCCCTACTCCCTGAGCTCACTGGTCTAAGGGAAAATACATATCCACTGTTAGCTCTGGAACTAACACACATCCTCCTAGAAACCAAATCAGAAGACTCCAGAAAGGAAAGGAAGAACCTGAACGGTGCTATTTAGAAATAAAAATTAATTTCTCTAAAGTCTGCTGCCTTATTTTCTTGAAGCTCAGAGCATGTGCACGACAGAAATGCCCTCTTGAGCTTCAGCAATAATACATTTATGACAGATTTGCACTCAATACCATTGACATTTCTACCATTATTTCACAAATGGGCACCATTCTCCACCCCATCGTCAGGAACCAAGCTTACATACGAGTCGTTTTTTTTAATTTATTTTTCTTTTTTGAGACAGAGAGAGAGAGAGAAAGAGAGAGCAGGGGAGGGGCAGAGGGAGAGGGAGAGAGAGAACCTTAATCAGGCTCCCTGCCAAGCACAGAGCCTGACACGGATCTCGATCTTACAACCATGAGACTATGATGGTGAGATCATGACCTGAGCCAAAATCAAGAGTCGGACACTCAACCAACCGAGCCACCCAGGCTCCCTAACCCCCATGCCTTTAGATAAAAGTCTTCCAAAATCTGGTACAAGGCAAGAAGGGAGTAGGTGGCAGACAGAAATACAAAAGGCTACTCTCTGCTTTGATTCTAGGCAAAGACAGCCCTGGACCCATCACTAGCAATTTCAGTGCTTAGGGTATAACAGAGACCCTCAGGAGCCCAAATATCATACATCAATGCTTTGCAATGACTGCAGAAAAACGCGCCAAATACGGCCAACCACCAAGGCTAATGTGTAAGATTTTGCCAACACCTGCATTAGCTAAACCCGGAACCTTTCACTGGGATGTGGATGTGCTTGTTAAAGGGAAGAGTAGAAGGGGCTTTTTGCTTACTTCTGAACAAATGGACAAAGGCTATTCATGCTACTCCCACGGGGAAGGTTTCTTTGCACTACGCTTGGCTCCTTGACAAAGCCCGTGTCCTATGCAAACATGCTCTATGGGATCATACCAGGAGACCAGGCGAGTTGTAGGAGGACTGTCTTCTGCCACCACATTTGCTCTCCTGCCGGGTGAGTGACCAAACCAGACCAGACCACTGGGACAGCTTCCCCAAGGCCACGGTGTACACAGTATGCAAAACCTCACCAAGACCCCTACTGCTCATATCCCCGCCCCTACTTTGGGGCCACCTGGGGTCTAGCTAGGTGTGAGAAGTGGAAATAAAAGTGTTCGGCGCCACTCAAGCTCACCCCACCCTTCCACAGTCTCGATTTCTAAAAAATAGATGTCCTGACATTAAAGGAGATAAGTTTTTTGTGTTTCTGCAAATACAAAATGCCCAAATTCCTGACGTGGCTCAGGAAAGGGCGTCTCTAGCAATGGGTACCACTAACTGATTTCCTATTTTAAATACTTAGACCTGCTGGGGTGCCTGCGTGGCTCAGCCGGTTAAGCGTCTGACTCTTGGTTTCGGCTCAGATCAGGTTCTCATGGTTCACGGGTTTGAGTCCCACATCAGGCTCTGCACTGAGTGCATAGCCTACTTGGCATTCTCTCTCCCTCTCTCTCTTTCTTTCTCTGCTTGGGATTCTCTCTCCTTCTCTCTCTGCCCTCCCCTGCTCGCTCACGCTCTCGCACTCAAAAATAAATAAACATTTAAGAAATAATTATTTAACATATGTTTGTGCCCTCTTCCCGTGTCCTGGAACAAAACCCAAGTCACTTGGCTCAGGCGAATGGGTCTGGTGGCTGCCTGTATATAAGGCACCAGGAGGTTGAACCTGCATAAAGGTGGCAATCTTTGGATTATGGTTTTCAGCCTACACTTCTTAGGTTGTACTGACAGTATTGGTCTGTGCACTCGTCACCTCCAACAGCTTATGAAACCGTGTTGCCAAGAGCTTGCCCAGAGCTAAGCCAAGGCATATACCAACTTCATAACGGTTGAAGGAAGGAAAGGACAGAGAAAAGGCAGGAGGAAGGATGATCAACCAATCAACTGACCATTTTATTCCAGCTCATCTCCCCAAACAGACCCCCCTATGAGACAGGGCCACGCTTTCCCATCCCAGCACTCACCTCCAAACACATGGACGTTCTCCCTCAACACTGTTGTCATCTGGAGCTCTTGAATCTTCGTGCAGTGGCCCTTGGGCAGCAGAACGATGATGTCCATGTTCTTTGCCCCTTGAACACTCTCAATGGCAGCACTCCCTGTGTCCCCAGACGTCCCTGGGTAGGAAGCAAAAATAACCCTCTTCTTTAGAACAGGGGAGACAGAAAAGGAAAGACGTGGCCCCTAAAGCATGGCTGCCATGTGAGACAATGTCTATTTCAAATACCTGAAGTGTAGGAACCTAGTACTTAATCTGGGGTCCATTAACCTCCTAGAGATCCAGGGATAGAAATCAGGGCACCTGTGCACTTGGTACCATATAATCTTACATATTTTGTGTACTTAAAAAAATTATTCTGTGAAGTCTCCATAGCCTCCCTCAGACTGTCAAAGGGGCCAATGGCCCAAGAAAAGGTTATAAACCCTGCTCTAGAAGAACCAGTAACACACCCTCCTTGAGACACATCAATGACGGGCATCCTGTGGATGGATGCGGGCAAGTCAGGGCCCCCAAGGGGCTCACCTACGACCACAGTGACGTGCTTCTCCTTCTTCTCCAGGAAGTATTGCAGGAACTGTGCTGTACAGCACAGGGACAGGTCCTTAAATGCATATGTGACGCCATGCCACAGCTCCAACACGTTCAGCCCATTCCTCAACCTGGACAGATGGACCACTTCTCTGTGGCGGAATCTGCTGAAGGCTTGGTCGATCAGACCTGTGAGGGGAGAGGGGTTGGATGGTGGAAGAAGGGCATTATCTCTTCTACAGGTTCTCTCTCTTGTCTCTTTATACTTTTGAATTTGAAGCTCCTATCTCCTGCTACCAGATGAGAGGACAAAAAATGTTTACCCCAAATGATACTGTATATGGATATAATTGCATAATCTGAGAAAGAAGTCTGAAAAGACGTGAACCACACCGTCCATAGATTCCTCATAGTGATGCACCCCAGAGAAGAGAAATGACACTATCAGACTTCCATTTTTTATTGTGTAAACTTCATTGTTTGGATTTCTTCTGTGTGTGTGTGTGTGTGTGTGTGTGTGTGTGTGTGTGTGAATGCCAACAGAAGTTTGATTAAACAATTGTGCAACAAACAAATCCATGTCTCACCTTTTCTAATGTTCCTTCCTTAAAAAAATTTTTTTCTAAAGACAGGTTGTTCTTTATTTGTTTTTCCTATACTAAATCTCACATCTGTGATACCGGAACCTTGGGATGGTTTACATATAATCCTACCTAAGGCAGGCCATCTTAGGTAATGCTTCTCAAACTTTTCATTAGCAAACCAATCACCTGGGATCTTTAAATGCAGATTCTGTTTCAGTAGGCCTGAAGAAGTCTGAGAATTCTGATTAAGTGCCCAGGCAATGCCATCACTGCCATGAGACCACATTTTGAGTGGCCCTCTTCTTCCCAGCCCCAAGCTGTCACCATTATATTGTGATTATATCACATGTTTGACCCACGGACCAGCAACACTAGTATTTTCTGGACATTTGGTAGGAATGCAGAATTCTTGGACCTACCCCAGACCTACTGAATCAGAATCTGCATTTTAACAGGATCCCTAGGGCAACCCATGGGTATATTCCAGTTTTGAGAGGAGCTGGTCCAGGATACTCTCAAAGTCCCTTCTAAAATTACCATTCAAGGCAATAAAACAGCAATCTGAGGGTCTAAGCACTTTACATACAGGCAGGAAGCATCCCACTATTCAAGCATCTCAGGATGTTGGTGAAATGTCTAGTCTTGAAAAGGGTTTTGAACAATAAATGAAAGGGAAAAATTCTCTGCAGATGCCACGGGACATTCATTTTATTGGAGATGGAAGGTGGAATGGAATGGATGAACTCTCTGGGGAGATTTCCATTTCTGGGATTCCAGAATCTGGAAAAAAAATCTGAAGTTTGGGAAATAGGACTAGAAACCTCCTAGGAGTTAAGTGATGGATTTGCAGCTCTGTGGGGGAGCTGGCTTGGCTGGGGAGTTAGGTGGGAGAGTAGGGAGGCTGGGGGGTGCTCACCATTTAAGACATCTCTTGGAATGAGCTCAGGGCCAATGAACAGGGTGCACAGCTCCTTTACCAGGCCGGGGTAGGACAGCGTACTCCACTGATGCAGGGTCTCTATGCTCAGCTGGGGGAGCTCCTCGGGCATGAAGAGACCCCCATCAGGAGCATAGCCAGAGAAGAGGGCTCCCTCAAAGTCGACCCGGGGGGCCATTCCCCGAGTGCTGATGTACCGCATCCCTGGGGGCCTGCAGAGGGAAAAGTCCCAGAGGCACCTGCTCTCCAAGCTCAGTACCCCACAGAGAGAAGCTGAAGCATACACAGCACCCTCGGCTAGCCCCTAGACCACGACTCATTTGGGGTAGGCATCCCAGACTGAGAGACTGGAGCCCTGTTGAGTCTCATGCCAGCTTCATCCGGAACTGTCCACATCATGGCCTCTCCAATCCAAATGAGGCAAATTCGTTGACCTTGGGAAAGAGGATACTGAGGCATTCGAGGAAAGGAGAAGGCTTGTTGGTCCTCACTGTTGAGGAATAAGGGAACTGGGGAAAGATAATAGCAATAATAAAGCAACTGCCATTTTGATAGCCCTCTTGATAAAGAGAGGACTACCATTTTGAGAAATGTCTGGGTCCACTTCTGTTCAAAAAATAGCCACCTTCAATGGTTTTACAGCATTGTTGCCCATAACCTAGTGGTTCCTCACTCTGGTAGTTTGTTGGGATCAACTTGGGAGCTATAAAAAAATATTCCTATCTGGGACCCTCCCTGAATCCATGAAATTAGAACCCCTATATGAGAACTCCTTGGGTGAGTCTATCGTGCAGCCAGGGTTAAGAATACAGGAACCAACTTATCCCACTTTGCCCACGACCTTCCCAGTTTTAAAACCGGAAGTCCCTGTCCCAGGAATCCCCTCAGTGGTAGACAAACTAGGATTTGGTCAAGCTAATTGAAAACCAGTGCCCTACTTCTCAGCCTAACCCTGGAATAGTTAGAAGTGCTGAAAAGCTACCCTTAATACTGTCTAGCTAAGGCTGACTGGCCCTGGGTGGGTTCAGGACTCTGACTGGGGTTGTGGCGGGGGGAATGCCCAAGGCCACCCAAGGCCTAACTCTGGTTACAATGTCACATCTGTTAGTTTCTCAGGAGCCGGGTGCCATGTTGAGGAGCTGAGCTTGAGCTCTGAATACCTTTCTCTGGACCATGACAGTGAATTCAGGAGGTCTGATTTTAAAGCCCCAAGGCCAGGAAACAGTTCAGGAAGGGCCCAGCAAGGCGAAGAAATTTTCTGATAAAGGGCGGGGCAGGGCTGGGACTTGGACCCCAGCAGCTGAGTCTCTGCCCTCCGAGCCCAGACTGGGCCCCTGAAGGTGGAGACTCTAGCAGGCTCGAGGTAGGCGCCTGCCTGTCTAAGGTCACCGGGCACCAGTCTTCCGCTATCCAGGCCGTGGGTCAGGGAAGGAGGTTTTGATAAGGTCTGCAGGATAAGGCACACTCCCAGCCTCTGAAAACACTTCTCAGTGTCCGAGTACCGCAGAGCCCCTACGGAAGGCTCCAAGCCTCGGAAACCCTCGACCCTCCCAGGTCCTCCAAATCTGAGCACAGTGCCCCAACTAGACTACGGAAGGGGGCAGGGAGGCCGACACAGCCACGCGGAAGTCAGGGTTGAGCGAAACCGAGAGAAGTTCAAAAGCGCAGACAGACCGCTACCGATTACCGCGGGGAGGGCGCCTCAATTCGCCAGAAGCCGACGCGGGGAGGAGATCCGGCCTGGGAGGGGGGAGTTTCGGCCGCTGGGGCGGGGGTTGGTCACCGCGGCGAGCGAGCGGCGCCACCCCGGATCCCGGCCCGGAATCGGCTGGCTTGGGCCGGGTGTGTGTGTGGGGGGGACGGTTACCGGGTCCAGGACGCGGGCGGCGGCGGCGGCGGCTGGCGGGCGGCGGGGCCGGGGATCGGCCGTGCGCGCTGGACTTGGCCGCAGGCCTCAGGCTTCTGCGGGCGAGTGAGAAGGGCCGCGGGGGAGTGAGGCCGAGCGCGGAAGAAAGAGGCGCGGGAAGAGGGGGAGGAGGGCGCCAAAGGGCACGGCAGTGAGGGAGCAGCTCACTTGGCATGTTTTTAAGGCACCTCGCTAATCACTTACATTCAGTCTCTTAATCTTCATCGCAGCCCTGGAACCTTATTTTTTCAGATTAGAAAACAGAACTAGATGGAAAAAAGAAGCCCTTGTCTTCTTTGGGCTTTATGCTTCTCACCTGCAAAATCAGACGACTGGACAGACTCCTTGTTCCTGAGACTGGGGCTAGCACATTAGGAGTTCGGAATCCACAAGGACACATGGCATTGTTTTAGCTCGACTGTTATTTGTCAGAAAACACTTTTTAGTAAGTACAGATCTAGTCTAGAGTGAAGTGCCTCCCCAAAGAATTTTTTTTTTTTTTTTAAAGAAGCAAGACACTTGAAAAACTGTCCTCCAGATATGGCAAATGCCCCTGGATTCATATTTATGCTTCTGGGTCCCAAGCCACTTTGGAGGCAAAGTTTGCCGAGCTGGACAGATGTCAGCTAAGATTTAGTCTGTGCCTCTGGGCTGGGCCTGGTCAGTGTAGCAGGCCCAGCTGGGACTCATGGGGACAGTGGACTTGGATGGCTGCCCTCCTCCTTTCTTCCTCCTATCTATGACATTCTCCTAACCCTGTGGTCTCTGCTTACTCAAGTTACCTCTCTCCACACTTTGGCCCACACGTGCTCATTTGACATATCTACACGAGTCCACATACCTGCCATTGGCCAACTCTAGTCTGGATGGGTCTCAGATTCCAGAAAGAGAGAGTCTGACTAGTCCCTGTTCAGCTAATGGACGGTGGTCATGGAGTTCACATATATGCCAGGGAGCCATTCCCAGAGAAGGATACAGGCCAGGCAAAACCCCCAATGGTATCCATCCCTTATATCAGGTATACAAAGGCCAGGGAAACTGAGGCACCTGGCAAAGAGGCCCTAAGACACAGCTATGTTTGTTACAATGCTCGTGACCAACCAGGATGGAGTTTCAAAAACTCCACAAGGACAAAAGTAGCTTCCACAGAGTTGTCCCACCAGGCCAGACTCCCAGAGGCCTGCAAGACTTCTTCATTATTCTGTAAGCAGAAGGGGAGGCCAGAAGCTCTTCTATAAATCGTCTGACTCTCTCAGAAAGGAGAGAAGCCTTTTGCTCAGGGAAGAAGAGGTCTAATTTGTTAGGAATTCCTGGCCCAGGACATTCAGAACAATGCAGCTACAGAGAATAAAAACTTCTGTGCGGACTATGAGGAGAACAGAATTCTGAATTCTAAGCAGGAATAGTAGGAATGTGGCGTTCTCGGAGACGTTTACACTAGACCAGCGTTTAGTTTTTATGAGATGAAAAATTGTTCTTATTTATTTTGCTTTCTGACCTTCCAGATTTGAGTGCGTAGCCATTTGTGGCCTTGAAGCCAATGATTTTCAAAGCAGAGCCCCAGGGCCCCTGCAGTGCCATTTTCTTCCATGTGTCCCTACAAAGTTCTCTAAGGGAAGCTTCTACAAGACTGTGAGCACAGCGGATTTACCGTGGTCTCCATGCAGTGGGATGTAGGAGCTAGGGGCCAGAGCCCTCTGTAAAGATTAGAGAACACACAGGATGCTGGAGGAGCAAGTGACCTGCCAAAAGCCTGCCAGCCGTTTGTGCAGAGCACAGGCGAGCACTCAGGCTTTTTCTGGAGTTCTGGTGAGGCAAGGCAGCAAGGCAAAGAGGAGAAAAGATGGCATTCAGAGACACATGCCTGGTATCTCTGAGCATTTTGACCTCCTAAATTGAGAATTGTTTTACTTAATGTGTGCAATAGTTGTTTGAGGAGAGGGGGTGATATTTAAGCTCAAGTGCTCTGAATCACCCTCATTCTTCTGAGTTCCTGACTCTGTAACTAAGAGTTTCAAGTAAAGTCTCAAATTATCGAGAGAAAACTGACGAGTATCATTCCAACTACCTTTCTTTCAGAAATGGACAAGTGGATCCTAAAATTTATATGGAAATGCAAGGCACTCAGAATAATCAAAACAGTCTTGAGAAGAAATTACAAAGGCAGAAGACTTATACTTCCTGAGTTGAAAACCTAGTAAAACTGTGGTAGTCAGGACAGTGTGGTGTTGACATGAGAATAGACATACAGATCCACGGAATAGCACTGATAGTCCAGAAATAAACCCATACACATATGGCCAACTGATTTTTAACAAGAGTGCCAAGGCTTTTCAGTGGGGAAAGAATAATCTCTAAATAAATGATGATGGGATAACTAGACATCTACATGCAAGTGAGTGAATTTGGACCCCTATCTCACACCGTATGCAAAATTTACCTCAAAATGGACAGAAGACGTACATGTAAGAACTAAAATGGTAAAAATCTTAGAAGAAAACTATGGTATAAATCCTCATGAGACCTTGGATTAGGCAAAGGCTTCTTAGATATGAGACCAACATCAAATGCAACAACAACAAAACAGACAAATTGGGCTAACCTTTTGTGCATCAGAAGACACTATTAAAAGCAAGTGAAAAAGCAACCTACAGAATAAGAGAACATGTTTGCAAATCACAAATCTGTTGTGATTTGTTGAGTCTCCAGACTCAACAGTTGAGTCAACTCTGGAGAGTTGAGTCTCCAGAATATATAAGAAGCCCCTACAACTCAATAATAAAAAGACAATCTAATTTAAAAATGGGCAAAGGACTTAGATCTACAAATGGCCAACAAGCACATAAAAAGATACCATTAGTAATTAGGAAAATGCACATCAAAACTAGAATGAGATGCTGTTTCACACCTTACTAGGATGGCTTGCATCAGAGAAATTGTGTTGGTGAAGATGTGGAATAATTGGAATCCTCATACACACACCGAGACCCATTGCTGGCGGGAATGTAAACTGTCTAGCCACTTTGGAAAACAACTTGGCACTCCTCAAAATGTTAAAAGAGTTACCTGATGACCCAGTTATTCCATTCTTAGGTGCATGCCCAAGAGAATTGAGAACATATCTTCATACAACATCTTGAACACAAATGTTCATGGCAGCATTATTCATAATAACCCCCAAATGGAAACAACCCAAATGTTCATCAACTGATGAATGGATAAACAAAATGTGGTATATCCATACAATGGAATATTATTCAGCACAAAAAGAGATACTATAGCATGGATGAACATAC